CGCGTGATACACTGCATAGGGCTGTCGGTATTTCCAGATTGCTATCCATATATCTAGATGAAGACATATGCATATCGGGAGCCAAAGGTGGACGAATCCGGGGCAAGCGAGAAGCTTGTTTTCACGTGGCTGCAGATCCGCTGACGCCAGTGCGGCATAAGCCAAGCAAGCATGCGGACAAAGAAAAGGTCCTTGAATGACACTCCATCTACACGCAATTCTGCATGCACATGTTTGCGCAAGGGTTTATTTGCCAACGATGCGGCCCGGCGAGTCAGACGGGTGGGCTGCCACTGCGCAGTTTGTGCGGAGACCCACTCAACCTCGCTCGTGGCGACTGCGCGACTTGTGCGGCCGCCACTGTCACGCTTTTGGACGATGAATCAGAAATGTAGGTAGCAATGACACATTTCGCAGAAAAGGCTCGAAAATTCGGGTTTCACTTATATCTGAGGGTTCCAGTATCGTGTTGTGTTTCCTTGAACGTTCCTTCCTTCGTCCACGCCCAGTCGCTTCCTTGATTGCTTTTATTGCGCGACGACAGCCGTTGGCTACTACCCCGGAACCGGCGCCCACTGACATCTATCAATCATCGCCTGAGCAAGAGAGTCATCCACCCGATTGATTGAGGAGTACCGACATTGTCGATATTACACAGCCAAGGTCACCCCGAACGCGAACCAGTCACCATGTCTCCCGCTGCGCCGTTACCCAGATTGCGCGATCCTGCGGTGAACGGCACCACAACGACGACATGCTTTATTTCTAATCTCCACTGCCCGTCATGTGTGGACGGTATCCAAGCCTCTCTCACCGCGCTCTCACCGCCGCCACAAGACGTATTCGTCTCCATCGTTTCACATTCAGTGGTTGTACGCCACGCCGCTTCTCTCAACCTTGACGACATCATCGTCTCGCTAGAGGCTGCGGGATTCGAGATACACAGCGTGTTTCAAGACACCAAGGCTGTCCGGAGTCCGATCGAGGTTAAGAACCCCGAGGGTAAGAGCAAGGAGTGGCACACTAGCTTTGAACGCGCCGTGAATCACTGGCTACATCCTGCTGCCGACCTTGAAGACTCACACGACGACATGAAGAAGAAAGAAACTCACCTAGCTCAGTGCGAGCAGTGCAAGAGAGAAGGTGGTGGGGTCAGCTTGCACGGCGACGAGTTGCTGCGATTCAAGCCTGCGCCTATCGTCACGACTTCACCCAGAGGTAGCTCCGATGGCTTCTCGTCGCCCGAACCAAAGTCGCCTTTATCCGAGACCTTCGTTGCTGTTGACTCACCTGCGACCCCACAAGTCTACAAAGCAACGCTGTCTATTACCGGCATGACGTGCAGCTCATGCGTCTCTGCCATCACGCACGCAGTCCAGGAACAGCCATGGGTTCAGTCAGTCAATGTCAATCTCTTGACTAACAGCGGAGTGATAGTCTTCAGTGGCAAAACGAAGTGCGAGGAGCTTGTCGAGACGATCGAAGATTGTGGGTTCGATGTCGCAGTGGAGAAGCTCGAGGAGGTGCAGACCATATCGCCCGGAGCTGTAGCCGCGTCGAAGCAACAGAGCGAGCGGTGGCGCGCAACATATTCTCTCGGAGGTCTGACATGCTCCGCCTGTGTTGGAAACGTCAACCAAGCGCTACGACCCCTCAACTGGATTGAGAAGGTCGATATCAATCTTATCTCGAACAGTGCGACCATCATCTTCAGAGGCAAGGAACACCTGCCAGAGATCAAGGAAAGTATCGAGGACGTAGGATACACTGCCACTCTCGATCAAGTTATTCAAGACGGGGCCACAGTGATCGACACCATCGAGCGTTCTGTCGCGATTCGCATAGATGGTATGTTCTGCCATCACTGCCCAGACAACATTACCCGAGGATTACAAGAAGCGCTTGAGAACGAGCGCAGTTTTGTAATCGACTCTCCACCACTATCGCTCGAGCAACCCATTCTGTATATCAGATATGTACCGGACCCTCCTCGTTTCACGATCCGAAAGATCTTTTCGACCATCAAGAGCCTCAACCCAGCGTTCCAGCCTTCGGTCTTTCACCCTCCGACCCTGGAAGAGCGCGCCCGCGAGATGCATGCGGAAGAGCGGAAACGTATCTTGTTCCGCCTCATCCTATGCATCATCATCGCGATTCCGACGTTCGTCCTTGGCATCGTTTTCATGAGCTTGATTAGCTCCAAAGACCCCATACGCAAATACCTCATGGGCAAGATGTGGGCCGGCAACGTCACTCGACTAAGCTGGGCACTATTCTTCCTCGCTACGCCTATCTACTTCCTCGCCGCTGACACATTCCATCGGCGTGCACTGAAAGAGCTGAGATCAATGTGGCGACCAGGAAGCCGGACCCCTTATCTGCACCGCTTTACCCGTTTCGGCAGCATGAACATGCTCATCTCACTCGGTACCACAATCGCATACCTGGCATCAATCGTAGAGCTCATCTTGGCTGCCACGAAGAAGTCTTCTGGTTCCATGAACGACTCTTACTTCGATGCAGTAGTCTTCCTGACGATGTTCCTACTCATCGGCCGTTTCTTGGAAGCTTATAGCAAAGCCAAGACTGGCGATGCTGTCACCTCGCTTGGAAAGCTTCGACCTAACGAGGCTGTTCTTGTCGACGCAGAAAAGGGCGACACCAAGATCGCGACAGATCTTCTCGAGGTCGGTGATGTCGTTCGAGTCCACAATGGCACTTCGCCACCGTTTGATGGAGACATTATCGAAGGCAGCACTAACTTCGATGAGTCTAGCTTGACTGGCGAGTCGCGTCCGGTCAAGAAGACCGAGGGTGATACTGTGTTCTCCGGTACAGTGAATAAAGGTTCACCCGTCAAGATCAAGGTTACGACAGTATCGGGTACTTCCATGTTGGATCAGATAATCCATGCCGTGCGTGAAGGGCAGTCACGTCGCGCACCGGTCGAACGCGTCGCTGATACTATCACTTCGCATTTTGTACCTTTTGTCATCGCCGTTGCCATCGTCACCTGGCTTGTCTGGCTCATCCTCGGTACTACTGGTGCGATACCGAGCGATTGGAAGAATGAATCTGCTGGCGGCTGGGAGCTTTGGTCTCTTCGCTTTGCCATTGCCGTCTTTGTCATCGCTTGTCCTTGCGGTATCGGACTAGCCGCGCCCACTGCGCTCTTCGTGGGAGGTGGACTAGCTGCCAAACACGGTATTCTTGTCCGGGGTGGTGGTGAAGCTTTCCAAGAAGCTAGCTCACTCGACTGCATCGTCTTCGACAAGACTGGCACCTTGACACAGGGTGGCGATCCAGCAGTAACGAATCACAAATTTTCCAACGACCAGAACGCTGCACTTGTGTTGGGCATTGTCAAGGCATTGGAAGAGAACAGCAGCCATCCTATCGCTCGAGCGCTAGTCTCCTTCTGTAACAAGGAGGCCCACAACACACCTACAGCAGTCAACGTTGATGAGGTGCCTGGCAAGGGTCTCAAGGGTACTTTCAGGGTCGATGGACAAGAAATCGTGGCGATTATTGGTAATGAAAGCTTCATGGCTGACCATAACGTCCCTATCCTCGCCGACGATGCATCATCACTGCAGAAGTGGAAGTCGCAGGGAGATTCGGTCGCTCTAGTCGCCTTGTTTCTACCACGAACTGGTGAGCAAAGTGTGGCAGAGCAGTCCGAGCCATCCAACACGTCGGAAGCCCTGTCACTCGCCGTCACTGAAATTCAACCTACGTCATCCTGGCGACTCGCATGTACCTTCTCTATCGCGGATCCGCTCCGCCCCGAGGCACCAGGCGTCATATCAGCCCTACAGTCACGCGGCATAGACGTCTGGATGCTTTCTGGTGACAACCCAACTACAGCCAATGCTGTAGGCGCGCAAGTCGGCATCCCAGCTTCCAACATCATTGCTGGTGTCCTCCCAGACCAGAAAGCCGAGAAGATTAAGTACCTCCAGCAGACCCTCACCAAGCCGCACAAATCTGTATTCAACATCCCCTTTCTATCTCGCAGGCAGAAGAAGCAGAAACGCGCAACTGTTGCCATGGTAGGCGACGGCATCAACGACGCACCCGCTCTCTCCACCGCCGACCTCAGCATAGCAATCGGCTCTGGTTCTGACATTGCCCTCTCATCTTCCTCCTTCATCCTCATCAACTCCCGCCTAACAACTATCCTCACCCTTCTCGATCTCTCCCGCGTCGTCTTCCGTCGCGTATACTTCAATTTCGGCTGGGCGCTCATCTACAACCTCGTCGCCATGCCCATCGCCGCAGGCGTCTTGTTCCCCATCACCACCGGAGGCAAACAGATGGACATGCACCATAACGGTGTTGGCATGGAAGGCGGTATGGCGATGGAGGACACGGGGAGGAAGCATATCAGACTTGATCCTGTCTGGGCCAGTTTGGCGATGGCGTTGAGTAGTGTGTCTGTGGTTTGTAGTAGTCTGGCGCTGAGAAGCAGGGTGCCTGGTGTGGGGTTTAGAGTTAAGGGAGAAAAGGAGGGCAGGGAGGGCACGGTAGATGGTGTAGAGAAGCAGAGGGTAGGAAATCAGGAGATGGTTTAGAGATTAGTCAGTTAGCTGCTGGTATGGTGTGGTAATGGTATCCCTATTCCGACGAATTCTCTAGTAGCTGCCTAACATCCTCAATCAAACCGCCATGCAACTCAACGCTATTCCTCTGCCAAACTCGGCAATCCTCTATCCCTAATTTCGAGACTCAAGTTCTTTTCTGCCACTGCCCACCCCTCTCCCGCCTTATACTTCTTCCGTCTTCCAACACTAATCTCCACATCCGCTTCACCCGTCTTATACATTGCATAAGTCGTTCTCCATTGCCTCTCAAAAAGAAAACGGTGCTGGGGATCCCAATAATCCTGAAGAAAAGGAGAGGCCTGGTAATACCAAGGCACCTCCTTGCTCTCTCGGTTTTCTTGTGGAGGTACTGCAGAATACCAACATGCTTGGAGCTGGCTTTGCCCCTCCGCATCTCTATACCAGGGGTAAAGATAGGTTATCCTGATCGGCAGAGATATCCCTTCAGTGTTGTACTCATCCTCGTCATCGGCATCGTACGCTGTGTCTGGTATCTCCTCCCTTTTTGCGACTTTGGCAACACGTCTCTGTCCCTGTTTGTCTTCTTCTTTGTCTTCGTTTTTGACGTTGTCTTCGTCTTTGCTCGACGAACGTTTCCGCTTCGGTGCAATAGTGAAGGAGCGGATTGGCGTGGCGAAGAGGAGGGAGGGGGAGACGGGGGAGTTCTCACGGACTTGTCGTACTTTGATTTCCCAGGCGCAATGTGAGCGCGGGCTTGGAATTGGTTTGTTGGAAGATGAAGGGAAGGTGGGTGCTTGTTTTGGTGCCATTTTTGTGGTTGTTTGTGTGGGTGACCTCGGGGATGTAAGAGATGATGGGAGGATTGTTGAATGGATTGGATGGGCTTTATAGAAATGCTAGAGTTGAGGGAGTCATCATGTAAAAAGCATGTGGGGTTTTAACTCGAAAAGCCATGACTGTGCCTGTGATTTGTTTGGTTCATTACTCTTAAAGAACGGAGAACCAGTCTGGGGGCTATATGGTGACCAGAAGTTTTTGCATCAGCCTAGAGGAGAGGTATGTCGTCCAAGCATTACACAATAGGGATGCGCTGAATGGATAGGTTGGAGCTGACAAATGTGGGATGTGGAGCCGACGAAAGAGTTGGGCGCCGTTGTAGTCGCCCGGGTGTGGTATTGCAAAGCTTTCTACCATGGAAATCAACGTTGTAGTCAGCAAAGGTCGCGCACAAAGTGTTGGATATTATCTGTATGGCTGGAAAAATTCGAGTTCGTGCCTAGCACCTGGGGGATTTTGAAGCGACTGTTAGCATATACCAGGGTCTCAAACGACTGCGCGTGTATGAAGATTATAGGTCTTGCGAGTGAAGTGCGATGTGTTCGAAGATATCGCGTATTGATTCTAAACGATGTATGAAACAAAGAGGTAATGCGAAGCTTCTCGCAAGTATTGCTGTGTGCTAGCGAAGCAAGATGCAGGAAACATTCCTACGTCACACCTTCGCGTTGACTTTGAGTATGCGCATTTCCTAAGCCCATATGGGGCTAATACCCTGATATCACCCTTCCCGATGACCCTCGTCCTTCCCTTAGTCTTGCGACCACCTCATCGGGTTGGCACGAACACCCTTCGCACCAGACGCCGAGGCAACAGCGCCCCTGCTATTCTTCTTCACCTCAGCCCGTCGAACTTGCGGTCCCTGGCGTTTCTTGTTGTCCCTCTCGATTTTCTTGATCAGGTCGGGGGTAATCATGATTGGCTTGCGGGGGCCGTGACTGCGTTTGGCCTTTGCCGGCTTGGGTGGCGTGGAGTCGACGACTTTGACGGTTTCGGCGATTTCTGATGGATGTGTCGACGAGTATGTTGGTTCTTCAGAGATTGCCTCGAGATAAGAACTTGCGAAGGCAGGGGCGGGAGCCGAGCGACGAAGGGATGCGGGTACAGATGTGGACCGCGCAACAGGCCTCAGGAAGGCAGTCGGGTCCACCTTCGTTGTGCCTTCGATGCCTTCCTCATAAGTACTGGAGGGAGCGATGGCGATGGTGGATGATGCTCTGGGAGGGGAGACTTGGACGAGAGACTCCTCGGATTTCTTCCCGCATGTCGAACACTCTGACTGCTTTCGTGTGTTTTGGGGGGAGACAATTTTACGAACAAAGCTGAACCAGCGCCTAACAGACGACTTGTCTTTTCGTTGGACGCGGGTGGAGGCCTTCAAATCGGCTTCGTCGATGGTAGTGCTGCTGTCGGTGCTCGCGCTCAGCCGAGCAAGGTCGGCGTTGGTGGTGGTAAGAGAAGCCATAGCTAGCGATGGGATGTAAGATAGACAGAGGAAGTCTTATATGTGTCTGAGGAAAGTCATACAGAAGAAATTTCCAGGCGCACAGCTAATTTATGGATGCTACCGCTCTTTACGCTGCCACCTTTAGATGGTCACGCTGCACTATGCGATGACTGAAACCATGAGGCTCGTAGGCTGCGAATACATCATACGTAAATTGGCGTTGTATGGAGCACCTACTGTTGGCTGAACCAGATCCACATGGCGGTATACCAAACTTTGAGTTCGCCAAGGTCAGGCGACAGTGATCGTGGGAGACGGCCCAGGGTATGAAAAGGATCCAGAGCCAAGGCGCACCCATTGAACGCAACCATAAATCTATGAGTCGTGAGCATTAGGTAGAGAGGGGCAAGTGCATGTGAAAGGCACAAAACACGGCCAGTGACCTGATCGCTGCGAATGACTGCGACGAATACCAAACCAGTTCAAGACAACTCTGTGGGCCGAACAAGATCAGATGGTTAAAAAGTGGTATTCCCTGAATGAACCTATAGCGCCAGCCCAATGCCCATATTCTTATACACCAATATACAAAGTCGTGTATTTCGCTACTTGCGCGCTTCGACTGCCTGCTGGAGTGCTTGGGTGGTGCCCAGTGGCTGTGCGGTTCGGTCTAGAGGCTTGTCCGGTACGATGACATCCTCGAACTCGTCCTGTGAGATGGCATTGATGGTGTATGTGTCTATGTGCAATTAGTCGATGCTCTAGGCAGAGAAGGCGTGTACCATACAGATGCCAACAACCAGGGTGCAGATAGCGAAGCCGGTGATGGTGTTTTTGATCAGGTACGGCGCGCGGGTTCGCAGCAGGGCCGGCGATGCCCGCATGCGGTCGTCGTAGTAGGTCGAGCGGAAGGGTTTGCTGTCGACGTTAGCATACACCCTCGATGTACATGCGCAATGCCACTTACTATCCCATGTTGGCGTGCTGAGACTCTCACTGCTTTGCGGGGAATCGCCAATGTCTCGCCGCGGTGGTGAACTTCCACCACGCTAGGCGGCCTTGGCGGCCAGGCGTAGATCATCATGGCACTGCCGCGAACACTCCGCGTCACTCACCTCACCCGCAGCTGTAGTCAACAACACCAGTCGCGCAACCCCCCTTCGCTTCTCCACGCTCTCTACGCCTCTTTGATTATTAGCTTTGCTGGGAATGGGAGCGCCCTTGACGTCGGATACCGGGCTTTGTCGCGTTCTTAGTCTGACTGCCGTGCGCGCGTGAGGCAGCGTCACTTGTCTTCACCCTTTCGAAGAAACAAAGCTCGTCTCGTGTGCACTCGCCATCAGCCATCGCCATGAGTTCGCAAACGATACAGCAGATGGAGTCCGCCCGGTCGCTCGCGTTAGGCGACGGTAGATACTATCCTACCATCATACCGGGCGTGCTTCCCATCATCGGCTACAGTGAAGACCAGAGCATCGAGATACAGCGCTGGGGTGCCGACTTTCTAGCCGAGGCTTTTGCGTCGCCAACATGGCCCCAAGACGTCAAGCAGAACAGCGCGCCCTCTGTGTTGGCTACCCTGAAAGCCTACCTCGACAATGTTGAAGACAAGAGCGTCATCAAGAGCGCCATTCAGGCGGCTGCCAGCGTGTACCCGCTCGTTTACAGACACATGTAAGTGACATCCCAGGCATCAGATAGAAGTCCCCATGTCAAATATGCCATGCGCATCTTGAAGTCCCCTTGCCAGATGCCTATGATTGCAATCCAGCGAACACGTTCTTATACTTGCATGTGTCAGTGTCTCCGACGCCAGCGATGCCCAGAAATGGCAGCTCATGGCCGGCATCAAGTCCAACATCTTGCGACGAATGGATGCAGCTGCGCCCGGTGTGCGGATATGTTGCGTCAAGTTCCTCCAGCAAGTCGTCCTGGTACAGACACCAGGCGTTACGGACCCTAGGGTAAATACCACACTCTACCCAATGTATAGACAGCCATCTGATCCCTCGCAGCGCGCCGACCCGAACGACATCTCCCTCTCCCTCGTATCCCGCGACCACCCCCTCATACCCTACGCGAGCCTCGAGGCTGAAGGACACGGGCTGTTGGACAGGTTGCTGGATATCATACACGGAGATCACAGGTTAGATAGACAGTCGCAGACTGTTGGGATGCCTCTAACAGAGACTAGTGACGGCTTGCTTGTGACTGCGACACTCAACAGCTTGGGCATGTTAATTCACCGCCGCCCAAATGTTGCAAATAAGATCTTAAACGGTGTCTTCAACTTCAACCCTCTCAAGCTCGCCAATTCGCCCATGACGCCCAAGAACAAGGTCATCATGAAGTCGATTGAGCGCACAACAAGGGCACTGCTTGTGAACATCATAAAGAGGTATGTCTGCCTTACTGAATGATAGTACTGCTGATGCTCATAAACGTAGAAACTCCCCAGATAACCCCATCAACGGACGGATACAGCAGTTCCTCGAACGCATGCATCGTACACGGATTGAAGTGTTCGATGAATCTAACCGTAAACGTCCAGCGCCGGTTGAGCCTACTGATGGTCTTGACCCGGCAAAGAGGCAACGGCTGGTTGCTGAGCCTCCAAGTCGCACTCCATCCGTCCAGCCGCTACCGCCTGGTGAAGTGAGTTGGCGACAACTATACACACTGAACGCTGAGGGCAGCACTGCGAACTTTGATGTACAAAACTTCAGGGATCCCGAGCAATTGCTGAGGATAGTCGTGCCTGTTCTGCAGTCGGTGAACCCACAGAAGCTTGAACAAGCTATCAACGTATGTGATGTTCCCTGTCCAATTCATACTCACGTTGGCCTACACGGTTCGGGCTTTATTGGAGGTATCAGTCATGGCCGTGCTAACACCATCTAGGCCGTCCGCGCTCGTTATCAGACACTCAAACAGACCGCACCCAGTCGCCCTGTACAGCCCCCACCGACCGCCGCCGCAGAAGACGAAGAAGAATACGAGCCCGACTTCGAGCCCGAAGACGCTGAACAACTCATCAACAAGCTCGATGGCATCCCCTCGAATCCCTTCTCCTCACAAGGCGGACCGTCAACCGCGTTAGCACCCTACAAGCTGCCCGAAGCACCTCCGTTATCAGAACAGGATGTCCAGAAGTACGGTGACATGACCGTACATCGAGCCTTCGGCATGCTGAGCAGTGTAGATGAGACACAGAAGAGCAAAGTCGCTAAAGGCGGCTTCAACCGACTTGCGGCCACCGATTACAACAGAGACGCCTGGGTCACTATACTCTCTCGGCTAGCTACACGAGCCAGCGCTGGCCTAGACGACCCGGAAGAAGGCATCAAAGATGAATACGCCGTTAAGAACGCCAAGGGCAATATGCACATCAGCGATGCGGTAAGAGATGGCCTGTATCAGTACATACTGTACAACTGGAAGTCTCGCATCGACGTCGCCATCTCATGGCTCAACGAAGAATGGTACAACGACATGGTCCTCGCCGAGTCCGCCGAAGACACCGCTACAAACGGTTCCTCCAACCACCACACATCGCCGAAGCCACCAGGGAACTACCACCGCTGCGCCCTTCGCCTCATTGACGGCATTCTACCCTACATCGAACACACCGACAAAATCATCATCCGCTTCCTCTCCGAGATACCTGCCATCGACTACAGCATCCTGGTGCGCCTCAAGAAGATGGCCGAAGACCCCGAGCGCATCGACTTGGCGTGTAACACACTCCACTACCTTTATATGTTCCGTCCGCCTGTTCGTAAGATCGTTGTCGATATTCTGGCTGAGATGTGGACGGAGAATGAGAGGGCGAAACCTAGTGCGCAGAAATTGCTGGTTAGGTGGAGGCCTGAGGTGCTTGGTGAGGGTAGGAGCGTCAGTATGCCTACTATGGTTAAGAATGAGAGTAGTGCGGGTGCGGGTGGAGATGCGCAGATGGTTAAGGAGAGTGCTAATGGCGCTTTGGAGGTTAAGGCTGTTTCGTAGATGGGGAGATGAGGAGAGGAGACGAAGGGTGGAGACGAAGGGAGGAACATACCATGGGTTTGGATTCGAGTCGTTCGTTTCTTCACGTGTATACCTATCGGGTTCATTCAGAGGTCCGTGTTACGATAGGGGTGCACCACTGTAAGATGGGAGAAAATGAAGTGGGAAAGCGAAGAGGCCAGAAGGGTGAGATTATGTGTGGTTCCACGAAGATACAGTGCAGCCAATGTACAACATTCCAATTTGTTCAAAACACGGATCTGCATTCATCCATTGGCACTTTTACTTTACGTCGTAGAGATCGTTTCTATGCTAATACATCTCCATCGAAATCACATCATCCTCCTCTCCAACAAGCCACACATCTACTCAATCTTCATCTTCTGGAACTGCTCAATACTCGCCTCCCAATTCCTCGCCTCCAACTCCGCCGTCCTCAGCTTCTCCTTCTCCTGCTCCTTGACCGCATCACTGACCTTCTGCTCCCACTCATCATCCATGATCTTCTTCTGGCGCGTAATCGTCTCGTTGGCTTTAACAAGGCGGTCTTGAGCCTTGGTAATCTCCTTGTCGAGCTCGATGCGGCCCTTGACGTCGAGATACGCGGTCGCGGCGGTGCCGATTGTGTAGACGGCGCAGCCGGAGGGGATGGAGTCGGTGGGAGAGAGGATTTTGATGTCTGCGACGGTTTTGCCGGCGAGAGAGCGGATGGAGGGGAGGGAGGTGGGTGTTGAGAGGGTGGCGTGGGTAGAGTCGTCCAGGGACTTGATGTAGGTGGATGCGCCTTCCTTGATGGCGTATTCGGCAGTCAGGGAACGGAGGCCCTTTGCGCTGTCGACGAGGAGCTCGTATTCGGCGTTCGCGGTCTCGTCTTCGAACTCTGACTTGTATTGGGGGAAGGGCGCAATGGTGATGGAGGGGGTGGAGTCGCCTTGGCGGCGGGGGAGACGCTGCCATAGCTCTTCGGTGAGGAAGGGCATGAAGGGGTGGATCATGTTCAGCCCTCCCTCGAT